ACCCCAAAACGTCGTCTGTCTTTCTCCGGAATACCTGTTCCGGGATGACCACAAACTGTCCGGACTTATCCGTTTGAAGGAGTTTCAAAGACTTTGATTAGCGCTCCTTCTTCACCATGTTTACATCTTTGAAATTCCTCCTCTCCGACGGGTGTGCGTCCCCCATAACTTTTCCTAATCTCCCAACAGTTTGATCGACAAATGAAACTCTTTTTTTGTGATTCACATACCGTGCAACGGTCTGGACCGCGAAAAACATATCCAGTCTGGAAGGCTTCACATTCATAAAAAAACTTGGGACTTTTTTTCAGGATTGCTTTTGTTGTTTCCGAAATCGGTTCTGTACAAGGGTTCACTACACCTGGTTGATGCACCGACTCAGCATGACCATACATTCAAACGTCAGGCACAGTCACATTCCTTAGTTTCATCATCTTGATTGAGCTCAAAACATGCGATCTTTTCACATACCAATTCTGGTTGTACTGCGCCTTCTTGACATTGTCCCAGTGTCGATATTTTTTGCTTGTCCTGAAGCCCTTGCCTAGGAGGATGTCCCACAGTCTATCGCACGCACTCCGGAGTTCGTGGATTCTCTTGGTCGCTCCTTGTCTGTATGCCATGAGGATTCTTTTCTTCGTTCTCCATGGGAGGTTGCCTGTTGAAAGATGCTCGAAAAGCAGCGGATCGATGAAGTTCTTGCGAAGAGAAAGCCCGAAACAGGCTACATCTGCTTCCAGCTCCGCCAATCGCAGTCCCAACCTTTCCAGTGACGCATACGCTTGACAAACAAGCAGCGACGACGACGACGACTTGAGAGAGTATAAATGAGAGAAATGCACTAGTCCTGCTTCTGGTGTGGTCAATAAAACACGGTTAAAGTGCAGGCGAGCTGGTGTAAGTTATACATGATGATTGAAAACCTGAGACTGTGGTTCGAAGAACAGAAAATCGTGAAGTAGAAAAAGTCTTGAACTCAGCTAAAAACTTTATTGCCTCTACATCTTATATACACCTCCCCCCGACGTCGAAGGTCGCCACCACCAGAACGGTTGATCACTGAACTACTAAGAATAGACCGGAATGATAATACACCGAACCGTAACCAATACAAAAAAGAAAAAAAAATTCCAAAATGAAAAGATATGTGCCGTTGCCAAATCTTTTACGTAATTATTATATATCGGGTGATATTTTTTATCCGAAACAGATTTTTATAAAAGGCGTATTTACTGCTACGTTAATACCGTCTTCACTATATGCTTCTCGAACTCGGCGGACATTCGAGGGGCAAACCACCGTCGCAGTCTGGTGAGCAATTAACTAGAATTCGTTCATTAACTGTTTAATTTGTGAGAATAGACATATCGTTCCAATCACAAACTTGCTGAGCGTCATCGAAAACCGCTAAATCAGTAAATTTTAAACGGACTTTGAGCGCGTGAGAAGCGTAGTAGCGCACTAAAGTTACCACTCTTGGAGCAGGTACAAGGCTAGTGGTTGCAGTAAGGCGCCCGCGCAATTTTTCCGTCTCTTATCTATCCCCAGCCTTGAACCTGCTCTTTTAGCGGACTACTGCGCTTCTCGCGCGCTCAAAGTCTTCCTAAAAATTACTAATTTAGGAGTTTTGGACGACGCTCAGAAAATTTCTAATTGGAACCATAAGTCTATTTTCACTGATTAAAAAGTTAATTACCGAATTTAGTCAATTACTCACCAAACTCTGACGGTCTTTCGCCTCTCGAGTGTCCACTGACCTCAAGAAACACATAGCGAAAACCGTATTCACGTAACAGTAAAAACGTTTTTATATTTTTTTAAACTGTTTCGAAAAAAAAAAAATTACCCGGAATATGCTTGGAACGTGACCATATTGTGTTTATATTTGTCACGGGTGTGCTACTAGGTGGGAGGAGAAGTGAAGCGGTGGGCTCGAAGAGCGGAAGCGATCGAACTCTTTTGAATCGGCTGAGCATCCGGTCTCTGCGACGCACCGAGCCAGGGAAGGAGGTCTCGGCGACACGGCGAGCAAGCCTCGGCTACGCTACGAGGATCAGGACTCGGCCTGGGACATCGCTCCGCAAGTCCGGCATCTGAGCGCTGAGCACCCACCCACCAACCACGAGGAAGTGTTCGTGAATGGCTCGACCGGGGAGTTACCACTGAGGCTGGGACTTATTGACGGTATAGCAAGAGGTTATTTTTTACATGTAGGACATAGATGTTAAGCGTCATAACGGTTGCCTGGCACAACTTCTAGTTATTTTTCGTTCTGTCCTTTCTTCTTCTGTTTTAAATATAAATTCATTTATTGTCATCCTCCACCGCTCTTCTTGCCTCTACTGCCTCCACGTACCTCCCCGGCGTGACAATATTCAAGTTCAAGTACAATTTAGTATCAATCAGGCATGACTGATATAGTATGATGCTTATAAATGGTCATGCACGAGTCAGTTTCCTTATGGCATTTACAGTTCTCGCCTGGCACAGGCAACCTGAATGTGATTTACGTAAATACCATTTCGGGTACTCCTCTGGCAGTGGCATAAGTCTGCTACGGTGAGCGTCCTTATATCACCGAATCGTCTTGATCATGGAGGAACGTGCGAACGCTGCGACTCAAGCCAGCAAAGACAGATGCCATTTTCTGAATGTCGTCTGATGAAGTGCACGCGGTAGCTCTATCCAAAGTCGGACGATTCGTTGTGCAGGCCAACGCTGAGAGCCGAAATCGGTCGCATGGCGAACCCTTGGCGATTCCCACGGGGCTTAGGCACCATCGGGCCTGATATTATATTAGTTTTTCCGAGCGAAGTGGGGCGTGTCGCCGCGCGGAGCAATCTATTTTGAAGCTTGTGTCTTGGAGTACAAGCTAGCGTTGCCGCGTTGGTAGCAGACGGCATTCGGAAGATGTCGCGGCTTTAGATGGCTTTAGGCGCTGCGTTCACGTTCTCGTCTATTGCTATTCGGTGACTATAGCAGACCGTTTGGATTGTGTGGAAGAAGACGGTGGTGTGACGAGATTAGGTGCGTATTTTCGCTCTTTTCCTGCTTTTTAGTTGGCGGAACGTGAACACAAAGAGTTCAAAATAAGGGCTTAACGCAGATGGCTCATTCTCTTCTGCGCCTAAGCTTTTGACGAGCCTTAACAAAAAGACATGTTTGAGGGCCATCCGATGGCTGTTTCTACCCTGGAGAATGGGTTTAAATTATGAAACACTAATGGTTTTAACTAGCGCCACTGAATACTGTGCCAGAGTACCGTATTCCCCTTCCCTGTGCCACTAACGGAGTCAGCTGAGTATGGTTTGATTTGCTGCGGCTTCATTGGACGGCAGAATCACATGACACGTGTGCGGTCACAATTATTTTAATTGTTTCAAATCGCTGCCACGCGCCATCATGTTGTGGGCAGCCAGCTCCTGTCGCAACATTCCTGGTTGGTTCTTTTCAGCCGCTAGTGCCTGTTGGCTGTGACTTCAGGTGCAGAAGCTGGTCAACGGTCAAATGTTTTTCCGCTTCCCGTCAAGCAACATTGCTACTGCAGAGGAGAGGAGTATTGGCTTGCCATTGTATAAAAAAAATCCAATCCTAATGCAGGAAGCAAGCTTCGTGAGGTGAGTATCACAATGTTCTCCGCATATTGCTCCTCACCTTGCAGCTAAGGCTGCTTCGACTGACCTTGGTTCGGTACGAGCGATGCTTGAAAGAGCGAGTGCTTATGAACGAAACTTCGACTGGAGTCCTTTATAATAAAAATGTATCGCTCTGTATGCAGCGTAGAAACCATTACAAGTAATAGTTCTGCAGGCTAAATTTGCAAGTACGAATGTCCGGTTGACTCCTAACACAATTTAAGCAAACACTCTTGGGTAAATGGGCCCTCAGGCGCTTGTCATCTCAGTTTTTTGTTGATCATATTATTGTTTAGCGGCCCTGTGGCACAAAAAGCACCAATAGAGCCTGTGCAGCGCGGTCTTAGATACTGATGCCACCTGATACTGAGAGTGAAGGGAATGCATCTTGCTTCTCAGGTGGTATGATTGCTGACACAATCATTCTTGGTTTTTCCGCTTAAGAGTCATTGATCTCACAACAAACCATCCGTGTAAATACAGCGTAAATTTCATTTGGCTGCATTAACCATTTGCAAAAATGGCGTCGACTGCCAAGCACCTTGAGAACCGTCATGAAAAATTCATAGCTGGACATCTATCACAAGAGCTTGGAAATATTTTTCATTCTATGCTATTCCTGCCCAGGCCTGAGTACCTTGTATACAGTTCTAAATAAATTAGTGAAATGCTGCTGCGTTTATACGGTGGTCTTTTGCGTGCTTAAATAACGAAACAGAAAAAAAGATCAGCAGCTGAATGTGACGACAGAAAATGGCTGCTAATCTCTGAGCGACAACATTTGCCGCTTCAACGGGAACACGGCTCACAGCATATACAGACAATTAATATTGTCTGTATATTTACGCAGTGCGATTTGACTCATATCACAATTAGATATTAGACCAGTGGGGTATGACTGCTTACTTGGGTTCTTTAACGTGAACCACAGAGTAATGATGACACGAGTGCAATTAGACTTCAGTTTAGATAAATGCTGTTCGTAAATCAGTTAACATGGCTATTGACAGCGCCACACACTTACCTGAAAGACTTGTCGTCAACATCAACGGCGCCTTAAGCGTACAGTTATCGTACAGTGCTATGCAGGGATCCAAAATGGTGGCAAGAATATGCATGCACTTGAGCGCCACGATGCGGAGCCTGGAGTGTTCGGTACTTTGGAAACATATTCAGTGATTTCAGTTTCATCTTTGATGTGGCAATCTTTTCTAAATACAATAACGAAATTCTAAAAATACACGTTTATTTTATCTTTTTGTTTAAACAGAGGCCATTTATTCTTAGTTACATTTGTGCATTGAAACTCTGGTCTACAGAATAACGTAGTCTTTGGCATATCCGCAAGTTTCTGCCCTAAATGGTCTAGGAAACTTCTTTCGAACCAATTTGATAAAATGTGTTACTCTGCACGGTGAAGGGCAGCCATCTACCGGAAACAACTTGGGCTGTGCAGTCCCATTTCTGTAAAGAATCTTAATCTCGAGTTGACTCTGATTTTGCTTTGTCACCTCGAAGAACACTAACGAGCCATAGTATGGTCTTTGGGAAAACGCTTTGTTGAGAGCCTTCAGAGTTGCCATTATATTCAGGTCGTGATAAGAATAAAGGAAGAGTTTGGCATGGCGCTTTTGATGGTTGTGTCCTGCACTGGCGGTGGCTTCTTCGGTTTTGTTTCCTGCAAGCTGATATCGTTCCTCGATAAGCGTGGCAATGTCCCTAGAAGAATAATGAGGATAAAGCAGTTTTAGTTTAAACATAGGCATTAAACATGAACTAAACGAAAGACAGGCACTTCTTTTGTTCAGAATAATCGCGCTTTTGATCAGTTTTCAAGCGTGCAAAGGCACGCAACACTAGACACCGCGCCGACGCCAACGCTCGTGAATCGCGTCTAAAAACGCGCCAGGGGGCTCACGCTTCACGCGTATTGGTGTAATTATATACCAAGCAAATATGAAACTATCTAATCACAAGATAATTAATAGGGAAGCTCGGGATGCACCTTCTCTTTTCAGCTGTGGGGTGTATCTATTTATGAGCTTTTCCGAGCTCATCACTCGTACACTACGCAGCACTGTTAGCGTGGACATGACGTCCTACTTTTCTGCATTCTGCTTAAACAAAAAATTGATTGCAACTAAGCTTTACCGCTGAGTTTTTCTTTCCTCAGTAAGGATTTTTTCCCACACTGGTAATTACGGCAGCCATTTAAGTTTGAAGGGAAAACAGAAAATACAGGCCGGCGATGGCATGATCGCGCTAACAGTGCCGCGCAATGCGCAATATGAACGACGGTTACACGCTTCCTGCAACAATGAATCACCTGGTTACGTGACATTGCGGCGTCACGCATTGTTACGCACTGTCACGTTGCGTCATATAAGGCAACGTTGACACGTTGGTATGCCACGTAATACCGTGACTTACGTCGCGTCCCGTTACGCCACAACGTGACACAGGGATGTTGCCTTACCAAATGTTACCTACAGGGTGTCCCAAGATATAATTTATAGGTTTTTTTTTTTTTACTGCGAAAATAAACTAGCCATCGCCGAACGCTCATTCTGCGGCCAAAGGTAGCGCTAGAGGTCACAACCAGATGCCTAAGTTTCAGCCCGATCCGATACCTTATTCAAAAGTTGTAAGTGGTTTTCTGAAAAGTTCAATGGGAAAAAGGAGCCCATTTTTGTCCGCTTTCGCTTTCTCGCGCCATAGAGCCCCATGTATTCGAGAACTCCGTCGGCCTCCATTTTTCCATTGAACATTTCACAAAATCACTTATAACTTTTGATTAAGGTATCGGATCGGGCTGAGACTTGGGCATCTCGTTGTTACTTCTAGGGCTACCTTTGGGCGGAGAATGAGCGTTCGGCGATGCCTAGTTTATTTTCGCGGTGAAAAAACCCATAAAATTATCTTTTGTGACGCCCTATATAATGATCATGTATTAGGTGTCATCGAACGTGGTCACATGATTTGTGTCACATGGCGCTACTGATGTCACATGACCAGTGTCACATTAATTTAGTCGCGTGTCCACCGTCCGCTAAATTTGACGACGGAGAGTTTTAACTCCAAACTTAGTGTGAAAACCCCCTACAGAACAAATATCTGTAAATTATCTTTGTTTTGGGTGATCGTTACCACGCCGGGTCGCTCATTTATTCTGGTGAACACTAGATTAACATACTCTAATTTTTAATATTAAATGAGATTGAGAACCATCGATAATATCATTTTCTAGCTTCCCACGAAGCATGAGCCCCCTAGACTAAAGAGTGTGGATAGATCGAGATATTGCATGTTCCAACACATTATCAATCGCCTAGGGCATTCGCATTATAATGAAATATTCCAAGAAAACTTTGAATGTTTTCACTCTACAAATAGGCTGCAAAATCGAAATCACTTTGAGTACACAATATTTCAATCTGTAAACTGGCGTTCTTAAAAAATGGTATTTCGTTTATTTATTTATTTATTCGGTAATACTGCCAGCCACCTACAAGGTGGCCAAGGCAAGGGTGAGCATTTCTCAAGCAAAATACAAGAAAAACAAGACAAAAAAAAGAACAAGAGCAACACGATATTAAATAAAGGCAATATAGTAAGTAGCACATGAGGTAATAAATGCAAGACAAACGCAACAACCCACAATTTAAAAGCACTCTTTAAACCAGACAACTTACTTATCTAAGCCAGCAAATATGAGAGCCGCGACAAATGCAGGAGTTGGATGATTGGTTAATAATGTTTATTGGTAAACTTTTCCATTCGTTGATGGTGCGAGGAAGAAAAGAAAGCCTAAAAAAAGTCCGTTTTTTGTGGGACTATTATGACTTTGTCATGTTTGTTTCGAGTAGGCCTCGTAGTGTTGTATCGCATGTAATCTTTAAATGGAAGCGGAATTTTACTATTGACTAGTTTCTATAGGAGTTTGAGGCAGCTTATTTTTCTGTGAATTTCAAATTCAGGTAAGCCTGAAAGTTTGTATAAACAGAAAATAGACGCTTGCCTGTCGTACCTGTTATAAACAAAGCGTAGTGCTTTTTGTATTTTTTCTAGACGGTTTATGCTTATTTGTGTGTAGGGATCCCATACCAAGTTGGCATACTCTAGTAATGGCCCAATAACAGTAGCGTAGGCCATTAATTTGGTTCCGGATGTGCAGTACTGTAGTTTTCTTCTTAGCATCCCGAGTCTCTGTGAAGCTTTAGCGGATATGTAGTTTACGTGTGCATTTCAACTGAGATTTGATTAAATGATGACTCCAAGATATTTATATTCACTGACTGTTTGCAAGGGTATGTTCTTCATCAAATAAATAAAATCCAAAGGAAATGTTTTTCGCGTAAGTCTTCTGAGCACATTTTGTACAGTTTAATAGTAACTGCCAAGTCGAACACCAATTGCAAATGGATGAAAGACAGTGATTAAGCGCTTGTTGGTCTGCAAAACAACCTATATCAGAATACACTACACAATCATCTGCGAACGATCGACACTGCACTGGTTTGTTCACTGTCAAGTCGTTAATAAAGACCAGAAATAACAGCGGACCAAGCACTGACCCTTAAGGTACCCCCCCACAGAACCGCAGCAGTCTGAGAAGAAATATTTTCTATTTGCACGGATTGCTGGCGTCCAGATAAATATATATATCGAGCCAAGCTCCAATTTTATCATTGTCAAGTATGGCTCTTAATTTGTGGAAAAGCTTGGAATGGGGGCACTCGATCAAAGACCTTGGCACAGTCCAAAAAAACACTGACGTGTTTTTTTGGACTGTGCCAAGGTCTTTGATCCCCCCCCCCTTATTCATAACTTTCGCAAATTCGTTGATAGTGTGAAAAAGATGAGTCTCCGTTGAGAGTCCTCGACGGAAACCATGTTGCTCTTTACAAAAGAAGCCACTGTTCTCGAGATACACGGATAAGTGTTTAAACAAAAAGTGCTCAAGAACTTTACCACTTGTGCAGATTAATGAGATTGGCCGATAATTCGTCACGCTTAGTTTTTCAGCATATATAAATGCAGGTACTAGTTTCGCAACCTTCCAATCATTCGGAACAGTACCTGACTTCAAGCTCCGGTCGTAGATGACGTAAAGAAATTTCGAGCACCATTCGGCATAGAGGTATAAAAAAATGCTTGGGATTTCGTCTGCTCCACAGGACCTTTTTTTTTGTTTTCAGCGATAAGAATGCTTCAAAGATTCCCTCCTCAGTAAGAGCCACTTCAGGGATGCTCAAACGATTTGATTGGAAAGGTGGAATGCTGCTCACTGTACTCGTGAAGACAGATGCGAAGTAATCATTGAATGCATTCGAGATAGACAGGTTGTCATATACTTCCCTGTAATTCTCCTTAATTTTATTTACAAAGCGTTTTGTGCTCGAGAGATATCGCCAAAATTTCTGGGGATCATTTCGAAAAAAGTTTGTCAACGTCACGTTAAAAAAAGCGACATCTATCATTTATTTCATTGACCGTAGGTTCCTTCTAAGAGATGATAGCGTTAACTTATCAGTCTTTTTTTTTTTTTTTTTTTGCTCGATTTGCTGCATAGGCACTTTATTCGACGCTTTATTTGCAATATTGCTCTGGCCACCCATGAATTCTGCTTAGGAGACTTTTCTTTTTTTTTTTGCGGAGAGGCACAATTTGGAGCGATGGACATGCGTATGGTTTGTCTAAAGAATTCCCAAAGTTCATCAATATCAATATCTCTTCTGCTGCTCAAGTTAACAAAGCTGTCGAAAGATTGGTCCAGGGAGTCAAGAATGTCCACATTCTGAGCTCTGGCAAAATCACAAAATTCCTTCGCGAGTACTTGTAAAATTTGACGTGGGATAGCCAAACACTTCAACAAAACCATATCGTGGTCCGATATCCCACGGACAACTTCGCACTGCATGTCTGATGAACTCAGTTTTTTAGAAAAAAATATAAGATCTAGAAGCGAGCTACTATCTTGAGTTACTCTTGTCGGACCGCGTACTCTTTGAGAAAGATTGCATGCAAAGGTTGTACCTAACAGCGACTCAGAATGTGCCTTGATTCTTCGCAGGCAAAGTTATGCAATGCGAACAGAATATCAATACTGGCGTTTGGTGGTTGATTCAAAGCACCCAAAAGAAGGTTTGAAGAATCGAGCAAATTTTAATGCAGATCATTTCGACATCACGAGCATTTACCGCCAAACAAGACCGGTAACCTTTCCTAATAATAATAGCAACACCACCACATTTTGAACTCCGATCTCTCCCAACAATATCATAATTATATGGAATAATTTCATCAAGAATGTTATTGTTTAACCATGTTTCCGTGAGAATTGCAACATCGACATTATAAGACAATGGAACACTTTCCAGTTAAAATATTTTATTAATTATGCTTCTCGCATTAATATTCATTCTTTGTGAAGCAGAATGAGCGATAGGCACTATAATTTGCTTAGTTGAGGCAACTCCATCCCACAAGACCGGTTTAGAAGCTATTTGAGGTCTTTCCCGTCGCGGCTTCCGTAATGGTGCCCTAATATTAGCGGACTCAACCCAGACAATGATGCCGCCGTTATTTTACTTCATCGAAAGTTAAAAACACTTTATCTCCATTATAAAATTTCTTACTTTACCAACGTTTTTGCCTGGTTTGTTGTACCTTGGGCGATAAATCCTCAGGTGCGCTAAAAGGTGTATCCTTAAGGCGCTTGCAGTTTCTAAGTATACCGTCCTTATCTCTTCCATTGAGCAGTTTAAAGATTACGGTATCTGCATTTATCTTTAGTTTTTTTTTTTTCAAGCCTGTTAATTCCTTCAATTGCTACGTCATAAACAGCCAATATGTCTGACAATACAGTTTCGCAAACAGTATCTTCTAACGAAGTGCTGTCTTCATTCTCGGACTTAGTCACGCCGTAAACTATCAAATTAGTACGGCTGCTGCGGTTTTCTAGTTCATCGACCTTTCTTAGTAACCCGTCAAGGTTAATTCCAAGGATGAATTTTTTTCTTTGTGGTGACGCACAGTGGCCTGCATGGTCTCGATATCTTGTTCAATCAAAGTAAAGCTTGTGTTCGTCTCAGACGACAGGTTATCTGTTTTAGACGTGGATTCCTTTATATCCTTGATATCGCGCGCTTCCGACGGTATGCTCGTTAAGATTTCAACCATGGTAGGTCCCGGGTTGGACTCGATGTCCCCACACAAAGAGAGAAGTACAACAATAATGTCAGAGCAGATAGACATAAATGCAAGCACTAACCGTAGGCACGGCAGAAACAAGAGACACACGTCGTCGCCACGGCAAGCGGGTACAACGCGCTCATCTCTTACCTGGATGATAAAATTGAACGGAATTTTTAGATGCATTGTACATGCGAGATCGCCGTGCCCACTGGTGTGCCCTCGGTCGCTGTTCGAAGATATAGTGCGTTGCTGGTACCGCCCCCTTGCCGTTGTTGACGAATGTGCTGCTTAGGGGACTGCTGGCAGGAAATGTGCTACGTTGGCGGCTGCGTCATTTCCACGCGGCGAGGGTGCATGCCAGAATGTTGTCGCCAGCGGGAGATCGTCAGTCGTGCAGCTGGCGTAGTCTCCGTTCCGACGAACGAAAGCGCCAAGAGAGGACCGAGCAGCGAAACCTGGACGATGCAATGGAATGGATTCTTTAGATGTATTGTCCAAGCGAGATCGCCGTGACCACTGGCGTGCCCTTGGTCCCTGCTCGAAGATATAGTGTGTTGCTGGTACCGCCCCCTTGCCGTTGTTGACGAATGTGATTCGTAGGGGACTGCTGGCAGGAAATGTGCTACGTTGGCGGCTGCGTCATTTCCACGCAGTGAGGGCGCATGCCAGACCATTTTCCCCAGTGGTAGATTGTCAGACGTGCAGCCGATGTTAGTCTCCGTTCCGACGAACGATGGCACCCAGAGAGGACCGAGCAGCGAAACCTAGCGATAAAACTGAGCGAATTCTTTAGATGCATTGTCCAAGCGAAATCGTCGTGCCCACAAACCTTGTTGTTTTTGAATATGTGTATATAAATTGTAGAGTCATGTACCATGTAAGTTGAAACCACTGAGCGATGTCTGATAGATAACGGTGACCTTGTTGTTGCTTGCTACCGCTCAAACGTGCTTGGCGTTAGCTTGATTATATACGCGGCTATAAAATTATCGCTCCCTAAAGCATTCTTCGCATGCTTAAGCTGAGTCCGATATTACTGCCAACGCACTCTAGTCTTGCAAGAATTTGTGCCAGTTTAAGTACTCTTGAGGTACTTAAAGGTGCCCTGCAATCATATTTAAGCGTCTACCTTTTGTGCGGTTTCCACGTCTCTTGGGGTTCGGACAAGCGAGCGGGCACGGAGAAAGTAACTAATGGCGAATTCGGGTGGCCAATCGTCGGCAACTTATTTTGCCGGAAAACCGGCAATAGTGTTCGCGTGGTCAGTTTCCGGCCGGCGCGCACCGTTCGGGTGGTGGTTCTCCGGCAAGCACCGGCAACTTTCCGGCGCTTTTTCCGCCCGAGCTCCAAACGGCCGGGCGAGTAGACGCCAGACTGTGTCCGGTGTCGTCACTTCCGAAATGAGAGAGAAGGTCAGTGAGAAAAAAAATGAACGAAAGAACGAAACTGATCTGAAGTTAGTTAAGCAGCCGCTACGAAAGTCAATCCAAGTCGTTGGGACATGAGTGAAGGCGGCGACAGGCTCTCGCTAGGGGTGTCGCGCGGGCAAGAGGCGAAGTAAACTGCCACCCTCTGGCGTTTCGTGTTCGGGTGGTGAGGGTCACGTGGTGTGCCGCCGGCGCGTTTCTGGTTGCCGGTTCCGCCGGCTCGTTCTCGCCGGCGACTGACCACCCGAATTCGCCATAAATATCAGTGCGTCATATTTTAACCGGACGACGCGGAAACCTCCTCCACCGACGGGCGCGACCCGTGGTACCGAAAGCGCGCGATATGTGACGTCTTTGGTCTTTGGCTTACTACTGGTCAGAGCCGCTAAAAGCTACTTTTTAGTCGAAATACAAAGTATAGATGGTGCGAACCGTTTCAATTATTGATGAAAGTGGGTTTTGTTCAGTATTTTAGATCAGGAAAGAATCAAATGCTGTTTATAAAGCACGCAAACAAGAAATGACCCGTCGACATACCCGCCACCAAGCGGTGGAAAAGGTGGCGCATACTAGAAAGGTGTAGTGGGATCAGGCGCCGGCACGGAAGGGTCCCGGATGTACGCGGTGGCGCTGTGGTCGTAGGGACTGGAGGACCCGACCGGCTCCGAGCGTTCCGAAGGCCTTCGGCGAGCAGCTTTGTCCGGCGATTTGGCCGTTTCGCGGTATGCCAGCGCGAAGTGACTCCCATTCTGAACTGATCTTTACCCCGTGTTTGCTGTCGTTTGTGGCCAATGAAATGTCATGCTGAATTAGTGTTTAATCGCGCAGCAAATGCAATGCGAGTCGCCCTGGCTGCCCGCTTCATACAGCCTAGCCAGCACATGCTTTAGCGGCTCCCTCTCAAGCCGTCGACACGGAGTGCGGCAACCGTGAGCGCTCGCTGAGCTCACTAGCTCTCCTCTAGTTCACGGCCACTCAAGCAACCAAGGACGTCATGAAGGAGGTTATTTTTTTCTTGTTTTGTCATTTTGATTTGCCTATAACTTTTAAAATAAAGCGAAATTCGAGAAAAAAAAAAGTTTCATTAAGTTACTACGTTCAGCGCGCTCAGGTTCGGTGCAAATTAAAAATTAGTAAAAAATTCATTGCAGGGCCCCTTTAAACTGTATGCCCAGCAGTTAATCTAACGTACTCCTTGATTGCACATCCCTATATGCTCACATTGGCGAACAGGTGAGTTTCACAATTTGGTATAAAAAAGTGCAGTTTTCTAGAAGGAAAAAGAACCGCAATAAAATGCTTAGATGGGCCAGTTGGTACATCGTGGGAAAATAAGCGCCAAAAAACACGGACAAAGAGTAGATTGACAACGACACAGGGCGCACTCTCAACTGAATTTATTAGGAAAAAAAACACAAACTTATATACCAATGGGAGCACACTATCAGACACCACACGTCACGTTAGTCTCCGCCCAGACCACGTTTCAAATATTCAAACTCATTCGTAGACAGAGCCAATGATGTATCGCTAATGCATTTTTTACCCCTTCTCCTAATCTCAAATGCCTCGTGAAGCTCGCGTGACACTTTGTTTCTGTACCTCGCCAATATTTTAGTGCTGTCAAATGATGGGTCGCAAATGCATCTTTTGCAATGTACAGCCAAATGCCCTGACGGTGTAGTTCTAGTTGAAGCGGCGTGCTCGCGGACCCGATCATTAATACACCTTCCAGACTGCCCTACATAGCTTAAACCACACGTCATTGGTATTTCATAAACGACGGCGGTTGCGCAATCAGTGTACTTATTCCTGTGCTTGGTATGGCACGGGTCAGTTATCGGTTGTGGATCATTAATTCTCCTGCATAATCGTGACATTTTGTTGGGCGCTGAAAATACGACCGGGACATCATAGCGCCCAGCCACCTTCTTAAGGTTATGGGAGACACCGTGCATATATGGTATCACCACAGGCCGTACGTTGCTCTTTTCGCGCGGTGGTTTCTGCGTCCCCTTGAACTTCTTTATCAAGCTCCCAGCCACTTCGACCAATGAGCTCATTGGGAAACCCCCTTTTCGCAGACGATCTACTTGTCTGACAAAGCTATCGTGGGCGCTATGCAGGCAAGACTTTCTGAGAGACGCCTCCATACACGAGCTCGCGATGCCTCTCTTCACTAGCTTGGAGTGGCAGGAATTGAAGGGAAGGACCCCCTTCCCTTCAATTCCTGGGGTTTCCCAATGAGCTCATTGGTCGAAGTGGCTGGGAGCTTGATAAAGAAGTTCAAGGGGACGCAGAAACCACCGCGCGAAAAGAGCAACGTACGGCCTGTGGTGATACCATATATGCACGGTGTCTCCCATAACCTTAAGAAGGTGGCTGGGCGCTATGATGTCCCGGTCGTAGTTTCAGCGCCCAACAAAATGTCACGATTATGCAGGAGAATTAATGATCCACAACCGATAACTGACCCGTGCCATACCAAGCACAGGAATAAGTACACTGATTGCGCAACCGCCGTCGTTTATGAAATACCAATGACGTGTGGTTTAAGCTATGTAGGGCAGTCTGGAAGGTGTATTAATGATCGGGTCCGCGAGCACGCCGCTTCAACTAGAACTACACCGTCAGGGCATTTGGCTGTACATTGCAAAAGATGCACTTGCGACCCATCATTTGACAGCAATAAAATATTGGCGAGGTACAGAAACAAAGTGTCACGCGAGCTTCACGAGGCATTTGAGATTAGGAGAAGGGGTAAAAAATGCATTAGCGATACATCATTGGCTCTGTCTACGAATGAGTTTGAATATTTGAAACGTGGTCTGGGCGGAGACTAACGTGACGTGTGGTGTCTGATAGTGTGCTCCCATTGGTATATAAGTTTGTGTTTTTTTTCCTAATAAATTCAGTTGAGAGTGCGCCCTGTGTCGTTGTCAATCTACTCTTTGTCCGTGTTTTTTTGGCGCTTATTTTCCCACGAAAAAGAACCACCATATAAATTAGATATGGTCGATCAGACATTCAATAAATTCGTGCTCCGAGTAACCAGATCCCACCTGAGAAGTTCCCCTCCCAAGTTCATCATTAGTTCTTCAGCAATTAGAACGTAGAGCCTTCGGGAAACGTCGGAAAGACGGAGGAGTCGTTTCTCAAACCACTTGGGTATAGTTAAGCCGTACTCCTTTTGAACCAGTAGGGCGTCAAGTGTGTCCGGAATAATGGCAGCGTCTCTCAGTAAACGAAGTCCAAGCTTAGGTGCAGCCCTAATAAGAAACCAGGCCAAGCCGGACAATCCACCAAACGGATTCAGCAGCTTCATTACCATCTTCTTAATTTTGGGCTTGCACATTAACCTGCCAGAAAAGAGAATATTTAGCGTATCAAAACATCTGCCATTTAATTAAACATTAAAATATTAACCTTCGCATATCAAGCGTAGCGTATTATTTTCTTCAACACCTTTAGCTGACAAGCGAAATGAAAATATCAGCTTTTTTCCATCCTCTCAAGCCGTGCTGTTATGATTATAGGTTTTATATTCTCGTATTTAAATTTTTTCGTTACCCTTAGATTGATGCAACACAACAGCAAGAGGTGGCGCAGAGGGCGGGCATCTTGCGTTATGCAGTGATTCGTACTGCACATTTTAGTATTTCCCAAGAGGTCCACCATCGCCCCTAACCTACGCTAGCCCTCGGCAACTGTTTAGGTACTGTTTTCGGTCACGTCTCGCTATTCGTTCGCCATGCATCACCAAAAATAGTTTTTCTCAGACGATTCATATTGAATACGTAATTAACTGGGCATGACATATGTTAGGGTACTTGAAAACACTATCGCTCCATTTTTGTTAAAATTATACATGTACAAAAACCTCTTCGGTCGAAAATTAGAATATGCTGCTGCTGTGTGGGACCCTGCTCATTCATCACAAATCGCTCTTTTTGAATACATTCAAAACCGCTAAGCTGGTTTCATATCGACAAGCAATCACCGGATTGCCAGCTTTCCCAGCTTGAAAAACACTAGGCCTGCCGCTACTAATTCACCGCCAAAAAATCTGTCTTTTTCATAAAATATCTCATCGAAATGTTACACTACGTCATAAACTAATCACTCCACCTTTCTGATTCTGTGCTCAGATTGAATATAGCCACAATGTTGGTCTTCCCAATTTAAGAACTTCATTTTTTCACTATTTATTTATGCCTCGAACATCGATAGACTGGAACCACCATCCCGTCTCGATTGCTAACATTACTGATACTGTTTCGTTTAGACGTGCTATTACTAATATATACACTATATAATTGATATTTCATAGCTCTCTTCCCTCCTTAATGCACGGGCCACGAAGGTATTTGAAATTTAATAAAAAAGTGCGTAGTGTGAATGAGTGGATCGTGGCTGTTTTTGCAGAGAACGAAGGAGATATTTGTTCCCAGTTTTCAAATATAGTGCAAAAAAAAAAATCAACACCAAATGTAGCACTGAACGCTTCTAACAGAGCCGTAAAGAGGTAAGGTGATATTGATTAGAAGCTGCCGGGGCTTTAAAACACCCTGTATATGCGACATAATTTTGCTAGGCGGCGCACCGCGGTACCACTGTGTTGTCGGACGCTCCCGATATGCGCAGGTGAGAGGAAAGGCAGCAACACTCACTCCAATGAAAAATGACAAGTACGAGCGTACATTTACGTACGTATACTTATCGTGATCCTCCGGCATTCTCGTGATGGGAAAGGGAAACCACTGTTCGCCCAGAGCGACTTGACGGGGTTGTTTGGACGGGTAGAGGTCATAGAGAAGAAACGATGCGCTGTTGAAGCATCTGCCATCCAAATGACAAAATGTGTAAACCACTCGTCTTTTGATTCCTTTTGGTTGAGATGGTTTATACAGGTGCAATTGAAGAATCTAACAGGTCTGTAGCCGTAACGGTTCTAGCAAGTAAGAAAAAAAAAAAGCATTTAGCGACACGTCGCTCTTCGTGAGTTTATTATACTTTTCGAAATGCTGCCAGAAGAGTGATGGAAGAAGGTACCGTGTTATTTTCAGATCATACTACCTATTTAGTGGCATAATTTTATAGAAAAAGAGTTTGGTCGTTAATTGATGTAGTCTGCATGACACAGGGGAGCTTATTTGGCTGACTGTGAATTACGCGTGTTGGCAAACAGCTTCTCGGTTTATCCACAAACCGCAAATAAACCCGTAGCAATATCCGACATCGAATTGGTGAGTTAGTCCACTGGAGTCAATTGTGGAAGCTGTAGGTGCATGAAAAACTCTCAATTCACGTGGTGTTAAGGCGACTGGGGTGTTTATTGCAGGAATAAACGAGTTCAGCGTGCGTCGTTTAATTTTTAAACGAGTGATTCAAAACTCCGTTATCCATGTTATTGAAAGTCCAGTTTTGAGCTTTGTTGCTTCGGCCCGTGATGTCACTACGGCTTGTGGTGCAACGTAAACCTTAGGATACTAGCCGAAATATAATCTAACAAAATATGGCTAGAAAGTTGAAACTAAATTGATTTAGGAAGAAATATATCTACCTCATTCTACACCATGCATGTGTTGATTAATGTTTACTACCTACGTAAGGGTAAAAACACAGGCAAGCTGCTGACGGCTGCATAAGAGCTAATGCGTGAAATAATATAGTACCTGGGTTTGAGACCTTGTGTGTTGTACCCGTTTTCTTATCATTTCGGGTATCGGGTTTGTAATGAAATTTACTACCTACACAAAAACTTGCCCTGGACATTCTATTAACCAGGAAACCACAAAATGTCTCGTGCTTTTATTATGCGTTAGTAATGATTTGCTATGCTTGGTTGCTGAGAGATTTTGGCGGTTTCGGATACGCTGCACACACGACTCTTTTGTGATCTCTAGGTTCATCAGAATTATAAAGACGAGTTTAAGTTTCTTCATGATTCGAGTATGTCACGATCATGTTTCAAAGATAAGTTTTTTTATGGATTCTGCTTGTTCGGTGTTTGTGTGTAGTGCCTTGAATTCTTAATGATTTTAATTTGTAAACAGCCCAAATTGTTGTAACTGAAGTAATCAAGAAGGGAGAAGGTTTATCGCACCCTTTACTCAATCAATTGACCTTTATCTGATGGTCGGACGTCATACGACCGTTGTGCTACCACTTGATGCGTTATGATTCACCCAGTGATGTCGTGAGCCTCCGTGGGGAGCTACGCTTTGTTTGGAAACAGCTGCGCGCGCCGACGGTCCTCACCGGACGAAGTAGCATTGGACAAGTAGAACTCGATACGGACAATCGTCATGGACGATCACCACGGACAACCGCTAAACATTGTACAAGAAAAAATAGACATGGGTTTTCGAGCTAAGTCAAGAAAGCAAAATAACCTCAAAGTTGTGTTTTAATTAATATTTTATTCGCGTGCTACTCTAGGCGACCGTCCGCAGCACGTCACACTTAGTTCAGTTGCGTCCGCTCTCGTTCATCTCCTAATCGTGGCACCAAGCAGAAATATCGGACTGCACATACCATTGTCCGGTGCTTGATTCCCACTGAGCTCTTTGTTGACACCCTCTAGTTTCGATTGTGTGTTCCTAGGTATGACGGTTTGTAAATTCTTACGACTAATGATGTCTTCTATATGCTTTGGATGCTTATCCATTGCCTGCTACGGGCTTTTCATCCTTTAGATCTTCTTGGTCTGAGTGTATTGCATTTTTGTCACACTCGGGTGTTAAAACATTTCATGAAATCCACACCATTGAAACATGTTCGGTTGGTACAAAGTTGCTTTGATGTGTTACCACCGATCCTAACATTAACATGCTGAAAATGTGGTTTTGTTGTGCCAAAGGAATTCTCTCATATTTACGAATAAGGTGATGCAAAGATCACATATTTCAAGTGTTCTACGTTTCAAATTTCCTTAGATGCACCCAGAAAGTAAGTGCTGTGTCTTCTTGTCCAGTAAAGAGATTTAATTTCAAATCTTGCAAAAATAAAGGGTCATGGGTAAAACACGTAAAAAATACCTACATGTATTTGCGAGGCCCATTATTGCCTACTACAAAGCTAAAAGCCATATTACCGGAATTACTTTAATTCCAGATATAATTACTTCCAAGAGCACAAATACAAATTTAAAAATTTTTCGATCGTCGTAGATCACACACTTGGGTATTTTTAAGACTCAGATACATTTCGTTCTAGAAATTTTTGCACATGGTTTGTCGAGATAGTACAAGAAAGCTAAATGACCTTAAAATTGTGTTTTTAATTAATTTTGTAATCAAGAACCTTGCTCCTGACTATATTTCACCAAGTATAAATGATCCCAACTTTGGTTATAGTATTTGCTGCTATGCCCTAAAGTATTAAAAAATAAAAAAAAACTTAAACATATTAAGCATTTAGCAAGCTCAAGATATTGTCTGTTAAATTTATCTTATCAAAAGAACTCTAAATACGAAAGAAAACTGTAAAGTTCAACATTTAACATGAGGTTTTTAACGAGATTTAATTATTTTGTTTTACCGTATGAAGAAGCCTTAGACTGGTATAAAACAAATCCGAAAACCGGTGGCCGGCGTTCCGCATCCGGACCGCAGAGCAATGTTATATTGCCGGCGTGCAGCTGGCAAAGCAGGCAGCACGCCTATGGCCGCGGTTCACTGTGGTTGTTCCACAGTGAACCGCGATTTAGGCGCTGACTTTCTTATAAGTTTTTTTTAAATTATTTTTCCTCTAAAAAGATTCAGGGTACAGGCGGTTTTCACTTCTGACTTTCTTACGCCGTTCGCGGGTGGGGCGCGGGGTTGTCAAAAGCGGCACAGAGAAGCCGCCGGTGATTGCCAGGCTGGTGTAATATATGATATTCCGATGGCCTGTGGATTCGCCTACGTGGGGTAGAGGAAAAGGTGCTTGAATACATGATCGCAGTTTATAACGGGTCTCCAAACTTTGAGATTGCTAATTATGTACAGTAATGCAATAATTATTAATATAATTGGGTATCTACTGTTGTTTTGGGCAAAGAAAAAGATTGTGCAAAAAGAGTCTAGAAAAAGACAAACAGAATCACGACTCTAGGCCATTTTATCAGTCAGCCGTCGATTACACTAGAAGAAACGACCCAGAGGTTTTTGTTGCTGTATTTTTTTTTTCTGTATCTGCTTATCAGTTTTAGTTTGGGGCCTTTGTGCGAGATGCGGGTTAGTCCTTAGTGTTTGTGTGAAGGTGTTGTGCGTCGGATCCGACCTTGTGGGTTGTGACAATGGTGCTTTGTTTGCAATGCTGTGTACGAACTGAGTTTGGTGGTTTGAGATTAGGTTAAGACGAATTGTGCCCTGGCTGAATGTCCTACGGGCATGTGCAGTTTCCGAGAGACGTGTGGAGAGATGGTATATAAACGACCCTGCCAATAAAGGTTGTAGCTGTGTTTGGTACGTTTTGTGTACTGTCCCCTTTTTTGTCCGTCGTCTCCGGTTTTTCAAAAATGTGTAACATCAACCAGCTAGCCTGCCTACTCATTCTATCTTTAACCACACTACGATATGTTGAAGACATACCTCCTGATCACGCAGCGCTCCGAAAGTATTCGCTTCATAACTCCCTCTTCGGCGGAGTCCAAAGAGTTCAAAATTTATCGCTTCCTGTACTGGCGCCGCCGACGAACTTATACAAAACCCTTATTTTTTAACATGCGTCTTTCATAAACATTTTACTCGTCTATTGTAGCTTAGAAAACCATATACAAAGTTTTATTGCTGCGCGAAATGTGCCTGATCCTGGCGAAATACACAAAAGCGGCACTTGTGGCAGTCGCCAAAGACCTAAACATTTGCCACACTGTTAGCAAAAACAACACCCTCAGGCGTGTAAACCATTCTTTTACAGCGGACACGTCAAAACGTGTTCGTAGTACACGCAGCCTTGTGTGTTACTCGTCTACACACGAGGTGCCGTGTAAACTTAACACGGTACACCGTGTCTGCCTTCCACGAAACACGCTGGAGCGTATTCGTTATGAAACATGGCCGCCAGCAGCCGAGAGCAGGGCAGAGATGAGCCCAGCGAGCCGCGCACTTTTCAGCCGAATTGAAAGCACGCAGGACGCGTTTGTTCCCGTTCGATGTTTTTATACACAACAAACAGTCTCCAAGCGGCGGACGTAGCTACGTGCAAAGGTACGTACGTGCGTCGTCGGCGGTCGGTGGCATCCACTGATCTCAATGACAATTGCTGGATCGCGCTTGCCGCTCCCGCAAGTGAAGCCACCGGACGCAACCCCGCTGGGATACGATTTCCCGTTTTGCTAGCCTTTTGCTGCGGTTTTCCAGCGTGCTGTAGACACGTTTTCTACTCGTTCGTCGTCATTCGCCGAGGAAGTTTTTTGAGACTCTGTGTATTGTTGAGACTTGCCGTTGTGAACACGTGGAAAATTTTACGAAAGTGCAGTGTCGCAGGAAAAAGGCACAACGCGTCGAAAGGAAGGGCTAGCGGCGTGTTCAAAGCACGCTGAAGTGCCGTGTCTCTGTGCCTTCGCGCGCTTGGATACCGACCAAGAACCGACGCCGTGTGAATGTGTTTAGCGAGTGCAATGTGCGTGAAGCCGTATCAAAAGGTACAACTCGTCGAAAACGTGTCGCCGGTGTCGCGGCGTGATCAAAGCTTCCTTGGCACGCCAAGTGATGCATCTTTGTGCCTCCGCACGCTTGGATACCGGTCAAGAATTGACGCCGCGCCAAAGTTCTGAACGTGTGTCGCGCGTAGATGCCTTTAGATCATTTATATATATCGGCCACGAAGTTCTGGATCGTCCAGCTGTTCCG